AGAAGGTTTAATTACTGCCAGCTTGACTTTATGGCCTTCTGTCACATCTGTCTACCACCGTCTAGTCACTGTAGACAGTTGACCTGTTGGCTATTCCTAGAAAGTAGACTGTCCGGACTTTCCTCCACACTAGAATCTCAAAAAAAAATGGTTCAAGGTGGTGTCTCACACACCTATGCCCAAGTGAAGGTATAGTACATGTAATTTTTTGTTTATTATAAAAAAAAAAAAAAACAAAAAAAAAAAAAAATAAAAAACATATATACAGAATAAAAAAAAAATAAATAAACAAAATATAATAAAAAAAAAAAAAAGAAAAAACAAAAAAATATAATTAAACAAAAATAGCTTACTTCAGCCTAGAAAACTTTTTTTTTTTTTTTGCCGGGAAAAACATAAACAGAACCAATCAGATTTTACTATTATTATCATCTTTATAATGTATCTCAGCAAACATTACCATCACCTAAACCCCCCCCCCCCCCCCCCCAGGCTAAGAATTGATGAAACATTGATCCCATGCATGCAGCCTTTTTTTTTTTTTAAATCTGATCTTACAAAAATCTAGGGGACGTGAAAAGACAGAAAGAGAAGCCACGCCCCCAGAGACTGACAGACAGCAGCTACGAGGACCTGACACTCCTCCACGCCTTTGTCCAGGCTCCCGGCCGCCACCCGTCCTTCTCAAGACCCCGAATCTTCCCAACCTCACCCAGAATGTTGTTCACCACCACCTTGACAGGAAGGACTTTTTTGCGAATGGAAACCTGACACTGTGCATTCCACGTGAAGTAACGGACTACTAAGCTAACTAGAAAGTGTCTCAAAATCAAAGTCCTGGTGAGTTTGAAAGGCTCCGTAAGACCACTCCATGTAACTCAATCGGGAAAGAAAAGGGACCCCCAGAGCCCCACCCACCCGCTTGTAGACTTCTATATTGAAGGGGCACTGAAGCAAGAAATGGTCCATCGTCTCCTCCACCCCACCGCACTCCACTCTTGGACAACCAGAGCGATGCTTCAGGTTGCCCTTCACATAATCTGCCATGGAATGAGAGCCAGGCCAAATCCTGAAACTTTAAAGGGATTCTCTCCAGATTCATCAAACGCAGACCCTACCTCATAACTGGGTCTAGGCAATCCCTCAAGGCCAATGGCTTGCTAAAGGCAGATTCAACAACCCTCCTATCCAGGGCCTTCCTAGGAAGAGACTTCATTTCCTCCGCCGTCACTCACCATTGCTGAAGCATTATCAGGCACGGGGCAACATAAGCCGGGAGCTTACCGTGTTGGACCCTCAGCCTTTTCACTGGCCCACCATTCTCCCAGCTCCGCAGAAAAGACCTAAACCAGGACTAAAAAACACCAACCCACTCAGGCGGTTCCTCTTCCAGCATGCTATCAAAATTATGTTTCTAAAACATCAGAGAAAAGAAAACCACCAGATTGACCATACCTAGGCCACCCATCAACGTATAATATATGTAGCACCCTCCTAGATAGGTTACTAGGTTGCCAGGTAAATTTAGTTTTTGGCTCCTCTGTAGTCAATGGAGCATTGTTGATTGCTTTTGGCTGCTCTGCTTTTCACAGGCTGCAGGTTTGATTGCTCTTCCCTGCTTTCTAGAAAACTGGGGTTGCTCTGGAACATAGATGTGGAGCAAAGCAAATGGGCAGCATGAATATTTATACTGTTTTAGGCAATCCCTGAGAGAGATGACCCAGATAGAGTCTGAACTCTATACAATTTAGGGGGGGTTCCAGTTGGGGGGAGACAACCTGTCCAGGTGGGGGCTACCTCCAAGCTGTTCCACTGACCCAAGCGGCTGATAGTTAAGGTCCTGGCTGTAGCAGAGAGGGGGGGGGGGCTACACTCACGAGCTTCACAAGCTTGATAACACCCTAAAGACTTCACCTAAGGATCCTGCTACGTTTTCTTCACTAGAGGAAGCTGATTGGACAAAGCTGCCCCCCTAACCTCGTGAGTACTGCTCTACTGCAAGGTACGGGTGACTGTACACTATTGGGACTGCTGGGCTAAGTAGTTCTTCTCCTGAGAGGTACATACTGACTGGTCCTTTTTTATTTTGTCTTAAACTGTAAGCACTTTTTAGCTGATCTAGCTAAAAAAAAAAAATGGGCGAACTTGATGGACTTCTTGGTCTTTTTCTACCGTCACTTTTCTATGTTTCTGTGTTTAACCACTTGCTGGATATGCAGCTTCCTTACCTTGTAATCCTCGCCCATGTGCCAGTTTAAGCTAGTGCCATGAACACTGCCTTTCCTGTTTCAGGGTGTCTCCTTTCTCTTGCAGCATCCTAAGGAGCCAGCTTTTGCATGCAGGAACTAGAGTTCTGTCTTCCTACACTGTGTGCATCAATAGAAGCACACAGCCCCATAGCCTAGGATGGCAAAACACTCCCCTATTCCTCCCCCCTCCTCCTCCCCCTCTTTCCTCTAAGCTAACAGACTGGCTGTCCTCTGCTCTTTCCTGTGAAGACCGGAAGTTCAGGAAAGCAACACAGAGAGCAACATTCTGCAGCACTGACAGTTGTAAACTGCAGGGTTAAAAGTTTTACAAATAGTTTACTGATGAATGTTTATATTATTGTTTATATTATTGCGCTCAGTGTGTTCAACTAAAAAATTCTCAGGGATTAATGCTAATATTTTATTCACATTCCATGACTGGTTTACTGTTGGGCCATCATCTTTGGTATACTATATTCCTGTACTTTGTACCCTATATGTTCTTTTGCTGCTGTTTTGTATCTCCTGCTTCAATATTAGAATATGTAGCACCCTCCTAGTTTCGCTAGTTGGAGCTGGAGTCCTTATTATCAGTGAGGAAGGCTGAATAGCAGCCTGGGTGTAATAGCCAGAAGGTCAAGTTGTGGTCAGGAGCTGAGAGGCTCTTCAGGACAGCCCTTCTGGAATTTCCCCTGCTCTAGGGCTTGGGAGAAAGGCCCTAGAGGCAGTGGGTGGCACTGAGGAGTGGCTGGCTTGCACTCTTAAGGGATCCTAGCCAATCCTAAACAGAAGGCTTGGCAAGGGGCTGGGACACCCTTACAAATGATGGAGCCTGCTCAGCTCGGGAGAGTTCAGGTGGAAAGCAGAGAGGAAGATGTGGAGCTGAAGGCAGGAAGCTGCGAGGAGGCCCAATGGGATGGGGCCTACCTGCAGGCCTGGAGCTGGAAAGCTCACACTTTCACTGGCCCCCAGAGCGAGTCCCACCTGTACAGCAGGGAAGGAGAGGCCCAGCTGAAAAGACCTGGAAGCAAGCACCAACCCACCAGTGGTATAGAAGAGAATTTGAGCGAGTACCCCAGCACCCCCTGGGCGGAGAGGGGAAGTAGCACTCTGATGGAAAACCAGATTCGCTGCCTATTTGGGATTGTCCACTTTTAAAGTAACAGGCACCAGATCCCCTGTTTAGGGATACCTCCAGATTGATGGGTGAAGAGGTGAAGTTCATCTAGGGTCTGGGGTGGTACACTGGGAGATGATGGCTAGCTCTCCAATAAAGACTGTGATGCACTTGTAGTTCCAGGAAGTTGCCCTCAGTTTATCGGTACCCTTGGGCATCCTGTACACCCCTAACCCTATCCCAATTCAAACCCCCCCAAAAAAACAACAAAACCAAACTCAAGGACTGATTTCTGACTCTGGACGCAAGTCTTGGTGAAGATCTGTGATGCCTGGCTGTGCAGGACTATAGGGGAACCCAAATCGTTTAGCGACTCCTAAGGGGGTACTGCTACATATGTATACATATGATACTTTGTATTTGTTTATTATCCCTGACTACTTTTGTCCAATATATAACTTATTTGGTGACTCTAAACTGTAGCGGGTGTGATCACTTTATCTATGACATATACAGAACTAAGGCCCATGAGCCTCCAGTCTACTATTAGAGCATGGTCATTCCTCGTCAGCACTTCAGGTCTGAACCAGGAAAAAGAATCAGCTCCCACAATGCCATGCACCCATTCCTCACCCAGCTCCTGTACAATGAGCCAGCGCTGGACCTGGTTATATAGAAGAATCATCCCTGCGTTATCACTGAACATCCGACTGGAAAACTGCGCCGCCTGCTGCGAATATCGCAAATCACGACTCCCGGCTGACGGAATTTATCATTTTTTTTTGGTTTCCTGCGCTTAGCACAAACAGATGGAGCTGCAGCACAACGAGGCCCAGCGGTGACATTTGACGGGACACACAGAGAACGGTTATATTTCTGCAGCTCCTTCGTCTGCCCCAGCTGAAAGCTTTTTAAT